CAGTTTCAATTTTGACACTGACACTTGTGTTGGATTCAGCCTTAGAGGATGGAGATTCTGCATACGGGATTCTTTTATTTTTTTCCATCCTCTAAAATTCGGGACACGCCACCGTTGTCAGGTTTTCGGATTTTTTTTCCATTACGTCCGAAAGGTTTATTGGAAAGATTTTGTCCTCTCCAGTTAGCTTTCGACCTATATTAACTATCTTAGAGGATGGAAAAAAATAAAGGTAGTCCAAGTATAACTCTTTTTTTGTAGATTTTTGTTTTGTTAAGTAAGTGGAGTTTAATGCATGGACACTTTCGAGTATATAATTAGAAACGGACACAGAAAATTGCGGCTTTGGAGATATATATTATTATAATATATATTATATGGCGAAAATAAAAAAGTTATCGCAAGTGTAACTCTTATCAAGTTGCAATTTTTATTAATTAGCGTCAAATATGCTCACTGATTAGCGTAGTGTTTATCGCAGATGTCGATCTGAACTTAACTACTTAAAAATACATTGATATAAAAAAAATTAAGTTTGGAACAACAAAAAATGGGGTGACTCTACCCATCATACTACAAATATGTATTATACCATTTTCTTTCAAGAACTCGGGTATAGTTCGTGATTTTTTTTCTTCGCCCACACAAAGTACATCAAACAATTTGTATGGAAAAAGTCGCTTATCGGTCAAGGCTTCCATGATGTAAAGTTCATCAGTATTGTAGGTTACTGCCCTAACAAATACCTAGTAACTGCGTTGAATCTCCATTTCATTAGCAACCCGACGTGTCCTTGAGCGCAGGTGCATTTCCCTTTTGAGATAGCGCAACATATACCTACAGTCGTTTGAAAAAGCCAAAATTAACGTTATGTCTAATGCGAAACTTGGAAATATTCTCAAATACTTTTTTCTCTTAAGCCGTGATAGTCTAATGGTTTGATCTACCGCTTTTCAAGCAGAGGTCGAGGATTCTAATCCGGGCTCGTACCTCTGAGTTACTCAGAATTTACCATGAGGTTTTCAGTGAAGTAAAACATTGTGATGAAACCAGTCGTAGAAGCTTCACAACCTTCGGAAAATGTCCCCATTGAGCCAGGGTGGCGGACTAGGGAGTAAATTCTCGCCAGAGAATCGACCCGTGCCCTTAAATGGGACGTATAAATGGGTTGAAGTTGACTTTTTTTACAAATTTAAATTAATACAGCCACATATCGAGTTCTTAGGTTGTTGCGATTGTTATACATTGGAAAAGAAATGATAAAAGCAAGATATCTTTGGCTGCACCCCCCATTCCAACTCTTAAATTTCCATCCTAAGATTGGAAGAAATTACTACTTAGCAATAAGGCCGCCTGTTGTGCATTGGCTTACTCTGTGATACTTACATTACTGTTCTGTGTTGTCATTTGTGTTTTAATTTTTTTAATGTGCAATAAAGAATATTTCATTAATTTATTCATAAATTTTCCGGATATAAAAAAACCCCAATTTTTTTTTTCAAATAAATCAAGGTTTCGGGACCTTTACAGATCCGTCACGTCCGATCACGGCTAGCGTTGGTTTAATTTAATTGAAAAAAGTTGATAGAACAACTTCCTACAGAAATATAGTTGCATTTTTAAACTGAATGATAGAATGGAAGTGAATTTTGAAAGCGATATCAATATGTATTTAAAAGAAGCACATAGACGTGACGGGTGATAAAGCAGAATGAGAAGTCGCTTATCATTTTATATTCCAGTAAAGTATGATACTTCATACACAGCACACAAAATGGGAATCGGCCATTTTCACATTCGATTTTTTCGTTCATTGTTAACGACACCCCCAAAACGACACCCCTGGGGTGTCGTTAACAATAAGCATTTGTTGACGACACCACTAACAAATAGTGTTGTTACCCTGCTGTATGTTCGTACCTATACCATAATAATTAATAAAATAAAAAGAACCTGAAAAATATAATAATAATATTTTATCAGTTGGCAACAAAATAAACTGATAGATACCCTGTGAAGGAAAAGTATCTTTAGTTTCTTAATTGCTCCAAAGCTTGGCCTACTGAGAGACTTCCAGACACTAATCCTATCTGGATTTCCATGATCATATTGTCGTTAGTGATCTGCTTTTTTTTCCTTTGTTTTGTAATGGATCCTGACCCTTGGTATGGCATAATTTTATTCAACAGACGTAACAATGTTTTGTTGCTGGTGTTTATGTTTTTATTCAATTTTGAATGATATCCCTCAAGCACGTTGTTGGTGCGATGCCTTTCTCCGAATACGCTAATCACATCAAACGAATGTTTCTTCAACCAAAAAGTTTCCACGTATTTTGTAAATTGTGACATTTCTATATTGCCTGCACACAACGCCTTTATAAATTGCCACCCTTCCATGATATGTTGTGAAGGCAGCAACGCTAACGCCTTTGTTAACCCTATAATTCTTTTTTCTGCATAAACTTTTGAATGACCTAATTTATCTGCTTTTTTGTTAATGTTTTTGCACCAGTGAAAGTAACAACCTTTCAAGACAATATTGGGGAATAACATTTTTAATGCGTTCATTGATGCCATTTCAAAATCAGAATGTACTTTAATAGGATTCCACTTAGCAAGTTGCGACTTAATCATGCTGAACAGTTTAAAATAACTACTCTGCCGCCTGTGGGTCATTAGTGCGAACACTAATGGTACAACATTAGTGTTATCCAATGTGCTGCCAATATCTCCGTGTAGAGAGAAAATCTGAGTAAATGGAGTTGGGCACGTTTTAAAAGTGCCGTCTATAAAAAATTCTGTCACATTTGCTATTGCTTGCCTGCAATTATTAGTACAAAATACTAGAACTTTTTCATCCTTGTCACAATAATCTGCTAAAATCTGATCACGGAATTTCAATGGAATTTCTATTTCACTGACAGATTTGTATACCGTTTTTTTTAAATCCAAACTCTTGTTCCGTGCACCATACAAAAAACTAGTTGAATTATTTAATGAGGGTATAGGTATCACTAATTCTAAGCCAGTCTCTTTGATGGAGTTTGTTGCATCGTTGTAAAGTTTCGGTATGGGTTCATCACTTGTTATAACGGTTTCCCTAAGCTCATGCATTATTTTAAGAGCATCATTTTTGTGCACATTTGGCTCACATGTATGTAATTTGCCAAATGCATGTATTTGTTTATCCTGAAACAAGAGCAAACACACAATTCCTCATTTCAGGAGCAAGAAATATGTAGTAGGAAGTGGCCTCTATCTATAGCATACCTACCTTAGTAGTAACTGTTCCATGGCATTTCAACTTTTTGTGAGAGGAACATCTCCAATATACTGATCCATCTGCATAATTTTTATGTTTATGATATTTATACTTGCCTAAAAGTAAGGCCACTCCGCCATTGGTATTTGTTAATCTGAATTCGGACATTGTTAACTTTTTCTTCGAAAGTTATTGAAAATATTAGAAATGTCAATATATTGATTAACTTCACAAATGACACATAATTTATCTCATGAACGTCATAAACGTTATCAGCCAGTGCATTAGAGAAAGAGATAAAAAGATACAATTGCATATGTTTATTAACCATTGAGAGTATACTAGCTCGATAATAAATTCTTAAGCGATAAGTTATCCCAACATTACGGTGGTGTCGTCAACAAATGCTTATTGTTAACGACACCCCAGGGGTGTCGTTTTGGGGGTGTCGTTAACAATGAATGGATTTTTTCAGCCTAATTACCGCAGCCATTTCGATGTTCTCTGCCTAATTACCGTAGTACAAGTACTATTGTTTTTTCTCGCATAATGTACCCAATAACATTAAAATATGAACAACTTTAAGCTAAATTATCAATATGTCTAAATGGCATTAGAAAAGACAAAGTAGTTTTCGAGTTATTAACAAATATACATTTTAGGGAAACGGTAATTAGAGACGGTAAAAGAGTAGCAGCTACCTACACATATTAATAAATAAAAACTTAAAGTGAAACGTAATGGATAGTATTAGTGTCATTTATAAAAAAAAATGTTTTGTATCGTACACAATTATTAAAGTACGGATTAAGTAAGTAGGTGGTACATCTGGGACAGTTTGAGAAGTCGTGCAATCCAGAACATTCGAATGAACGCAAGCTGTTTCTATAAATACGAGCCAGACGAGCTCGCGTTAGCTATTTAGTTCGAAACCTATTGTCGAGTGGATTTACAACATGCAAATGGTAATTGTCAGCTGTGCTGTCTGTTGCAACTTTATAATCCGATTACTTACACCAACTACTATGCTTATAGCGACCGCAAACATATGTGTATTGACATATTGTTAACGTTTCAGATACTAATGATCGTGTGTATTGCAAAATCTGCGCAGAGTATAATAGTGAAAGACCCACCAATAGGTGGTAACGAGTACAAATACACGTATGATATTGAGGACCCCACGACTGGCGACACGAAATCGCTGCATGAGGTGCGTCAAGGCAACGTAGTAAGGGGCGCTTACAGCGTACTGGACCCTGATGGCACGCGCCGCACTGTTCACTACACCGCAGACCCGACACACGGCTTCAAAGCAATCCTCACCCAGGAACCGGTTCAAGCTGTTATGTTAGTCAAGCAACCCTGTACTCACTTCTCACACGAACTATCCGCAGACAATTGTGAATTTCCCTATCCGTACGATTCTGTACTCGAAGATTATGCGATAGACACCGACGCATACGCACAGGCATCTTTGCCAGATCTACAATCTCCCCTAACATACTTTACCCCAGCGAATGAACTAAAAAAAAATAAAAGAACAGGGAGCGGACAATATTTTACTCCGAGTCATACCTAAATACCCAAATAAGTACCTATATTTACACTAGTATACAATCATATTTTTATGAACTTAAGTTTCTCGTGTACCTATATATTTCTATTTAGTAAATTAACAATATGTTCCTTTGCGAATGACTGTGAATATACTTACCTAGTTAAAGTAAAATAATCTTAATATACTTTTGAATAATCGGTGAAATTTGTTTTATTAAAATATCAAAGACTTAACAAAATATAGGAGATAGTGGGAACGAAAGACCGTAAAATCGAACAAACATAGCATACCTACGATGTTAATCATAATGAACTTCAGTTCCGGAGTAAAGTGGTACATTGATCATTGATCAGCTGGTTCAAGGCCAAAGCGCGAGAAGTGGGTCGGCGAGCGGAGACCTTTACATTAATCTTACACTTCCACCAGAGTGTGCAGACCCACGACATTCAACAAAAACGCGCCCCGCAAGCACGACAAAGCCTTTCGCGGCTGAGAAGCTCAATAAAGAGGCCGCTTCAACCAGCTCGTTGGCATCTATGGTGCGATGCGATACGATCGATTCAGTCGGTTTATAGCAAGTAAAGCAAAAGCCCAGTTACACAACGTTTCGTGTAACTTACCTTTTGCTCTCGCTATGGGCAAACTCGAGCAAATCCGATACAACTGATGATGATCGTCGATGTTAAAAGCACATGATTGAACAAGGGTGATAGTGTACTTTTACAATTTGTCGATATACAAGGACTTAACCAGTCCAAATACATTAGTCGGAATCGAAACTGTTCTTCTTTGTTCTGACTGTAATTGGTTACAGCGGTGCAATGGGACACAGCTCGAACCAAAATCCACATCCGCACCGTTTGGGACAACCTTGGTGCAGCCACATGTACTCTACGTGGTTCTGCACAGGATTGCAGCTGCAGGCCACTAGGCGCTTAGAGAATGCGCTCGGAATCAAATTCGGCCGCTCGCGAGTACCCGGACCTGGCAAAATAATAATTAGAAAGTAATTATATGTTAGTTTTGTATACCTAAAAGCAATGAGGCTTCTCAGTAACATTAACATTCCATTGCCACACCATTCATAATTTACCTTCGCAAAGTAACAATTTTATATATTCTATACACGAGCTAAGTGCTTCGGTGGTTTTCAACATGATGCATTATAATTTATAATAGTCAGCAGGGAAGACTTCACTTGTACAAAATTGAAACTAAATTGATTGTGTTAACGTAATTGGGCGTAAAAAAAGCTTACCAATATAAAATTGTCATAATAATATGCGCTTATTATGATAATGGCAATTATGGCTGGAAGTATATTGTGTTAGTTTGATTTGGTATATACTAATCAAAAAAGACTTTTTGGGCCAGTAAATCCTTTATCAAGACATCAATACTGCTAGGTTAAGAAGGATTTACAAGGAGCCAAATTTCACTTGACGCTAATTAAGGTGACTGTTGTGAATGTGACAAACATAAAATTTCGCTTGTAATAGATGTAGCTTGCCTTTCTTGATAGAGCAGATGCGAAAGGGATCACAATCTCCGGCAAGGTGGGCAAGCAGTTCTCGCTTCTCTATGCCTGTGACGTGTTCCAACGGGTCATGCATGGGACTGGTGCTTGTCAGCCGTGCCAGCGCCGGCTCTAGCAACGCCATGCGACGGATGACACTCCGGGTTAATAGTGCCATATCTGTCAAGGGACATTTGTACGGTATAATATATCAGTATTTCCTTAGTACTAAAGGTTATCCTCTGTACACTTTTTTGGTAGCAGCAGGGCCTTACCTATTTCAGACAGTAATGTGATCATTGCTGCCTTTTGGTTTTGAAGGGTAAGGGTGCTGTTTTTCTATGATACCGTGACTTGACTAACAAGTCGTGGGTCTGGTGGTAAGCGACACACCTGTCCGTGAAAGTTGCAGTGCCACTCAGAGCTTTAAATCACAAGGGTTTGAGGGGCACTCCCACTGATCCCGTCATCCTGAGACATAAGTTGACAAGTCCCATGTGCTTGTAATTTCACCAGCACCCTTGCCCTTTAAAATCGGAACGCAATAATGCTCACATTACGGCTTGGCGGTAGAAATAGCGGCTCATTCTTCAGGGAAAAATCCAGGGCCGCAGAAGACGTGGTCGTAGAAAAACAGGAACACAACATAAGTACCACAGAACTGTTCCGAGCCGCAACTTCACGGACTCAAATTGCCTCAATAATAAACGACATCCGATAGGAGATGGCACCCCAAGTAGAAGGTAGAAATAGGTAAGGAGGCAGTACTTCCCTGGAGTGCCAGTAGAGCTTCTTTCACAAGGAGCTCTACTGGCAGTAAATTACAGGCACTTAAGACATTTCACTTATTTCTCAAGGTGACAGGCGCAGTGACAGAGTGCCCTTAGAGCTTTTTTCTATTTAAAGCTCTGACAGGCATGTCGCTTATCATCAGGCGCAAGATTTGTTCGTTCCTTCACTTGGTATCATAAAAAAATACTTCAAGTTGCTTATCAGAAATCCGTGCAAACTCAAACCGCATTGGGCCAGCGTGATGGATTTCCGCCTTAACCCTTGAGGAAACCCGTGGCCGGCAGTGAGACATATTTGAACGGTTTCATGGTAATGATGAGAAGATGATACCTTACCACAGTCGTTGACCAAAAGGCTTGATATAAATTAATGGGCGACACAAAAGTAATGCAATTAAAATAAAAGAAAATTACTAAAGCTTCAGAAATACTCTCAAAGATACTATGGATGGAATGAAGAAGTATAATTCAATCCAATTATTCAATCAAACCGCACACGTATTTATGAACCAAATGACGAACAATGTCAATGTTGTTAAAAAATATGAGCGACGTGCAGACTGTTCATGACATTAATTTGGCAGTATTGACACGGCTGGGCTTCATAAATTTGATGTGGCCAGTCTCCAAACATGAATTAATAAAATACTATTCTAATTTATCAACTAAACAAATTGTATTTGCAGCGTTCAACATGTTGCGGAATATTTATTTGATTGGCATCAAACTATTAGAGAACAAGGCCCTGATTTTAATGCAAATCGGGATCGACCCGATCGTGTAGCCCATCCGCAATATTATACGCCTCGAATCGGAAAAGACGCAGTTTCCGATCGGGAGAAGGCAATCAAAATCAAGCTGCTGACTTCTTCGCCTGATAAGACGAACATTGATACCAAAAGTTATAAGTTATTACTGGCACCTCCATAAATTTAGTATAATATGGCGCCTCAACAGTTCATCAAAATCCCTTTAAGTTAAATGTATGTAAAGTTGCGATCGACATTTCGATAGTAAATAATTATTATTTATTGTATTCAGGATCAAAAGTATATATGTCTTTACCTTAGAGTAAACAATATATTGTTTACTTCGAGTTGTAGGTAAATGGAGAAGTGGGTTTTATAGCATACACGGAAGATATTAATAATAACTACCATCTGACTTCTAGGGAGGTAAAAGAAAACAATTGAAGGGCAAATGCTAAAATTATTAGTGCTTTTTACAAATAAAACATGGTTTACCAGGTCTACTTTACACTTTGTAGAGCTTCGTCTGTCTACCTACCTACAGCGAGTTTATGCAGTAGTGACCCAGTTTTATTTAAATCTCTAGCACAACAAAAACGGATTACATTAACAAACAATTAAGTGCTCCACGTCACACAAGGACGGGCACCAAAGAAAGCCGGTTCACTTAGTGCAAGTAAGTGATCTTTGTGCCAGAGATCAATCATGACCCTCTTACTCTTAATTCATATTACACGGCTTAATTCGGGAGGCTACTTGCATCTTAAGAACTTGTTCTGTGATATAACATTCATAAGCAACATGTTGATACGGTCTGCACTTCTAGCATCAACCTACGGCACAATGCCCGAGGCGCTGAGAAAGAATATATAAAAAGAAACGCAACTATGATCATAACACATTCAACTTGAGATCTTCTCGTGGTGAAGTTACCTAATTCCTAAAATGGCGTTCAAGGTATTTGCCGAAACAATAACTTAAATGACATAGGGAAATTATATTATGTAATATGATATTAGTTATTATAACTAATATATTTAATTATATATATATCTCACGTCTCGTGTTTTAAACATTTTCTTTCAGCTCGTCGTGCTGGTATGCGCTTTCGCAGCAGCTCATGCGGGTGTGGTAGCACCCGTGGCATATACAGCGCATTCGGCGCCAGTCGCATACGCGGCCGCACCTGTGGCGCATGCTCCTGCTGCACCGTTGGTAACAAAGGTAGCGGCGGTGGCCGAGGCATACGATCCTCATCCCCAATATAGTTTTGCGTACGACGTGCAAGACGGCTTGACCGGCGACTCCAAGACCCAACAGGAGACACGCGACGGCGACGTAGTGCAGGGCTCCTACTCCGTGGTGGACCCTGATGGCACCAAGCGCACCGTGCAGTACACTGCCGACCCTCACCATGGTTTCAATGCCGTCGTGCATCGCGAACCTCTCGGCCTCAAGGTAGCCAAGGTAGCTACCCCTGTCGCCTACGCTGCCCCAGTTGCAAAGGTAGCTGCACCCACAGTCTACGCACCTGCTTCCGTTGTTCATTCCGCCCCTTTCTACCACCACTAAATTCAATCATGCTAGTCAATGTCTGAAGGCTCTTGTCTATTTAATAACATTAAGTGATTATTTATTATTGTAGAATGCACGATAAATAAAATTAAATTATGGCGAAATTGTGTTTAACTATTTGTATTAATACTCGTATGCCACATCCTGAAATGAGCCAGCCATACATGGCTGATAAGCTTCATTGGTAGATACGCATAAATTATTCAAAAATAAAATCACTCGCCCAATAGCATACACTACACCCTTGTGACAAAAGTCTATGCTATATAAGTGTATTATACTGTGGATGCAATATTACTTATTTATTTAAACTTAATTGCACACAAAACAGTACAAATGGCGGACTTAATGCCATTAGGCATTCTCTACCAGTGAACCGGAGAGCTGGGTTCAAAATAATTAACAGGGGTGCATAACATGATAATTAAAACAGATAGGAAGAAGTTTATAAATAATTAAGATATATAGTTTAAACTCAATATAAATATAGCACATAATATTATATTACTAACTATATACTTATATAACCAACCTATATATGTACACACAAATACATAATATATAATACATAGACATATATATTCAATATACATATATATAACAATGTCAGACTAATGGGATGTAGATTGAGACTTCAATATGGAATCGCGGACTAATTGCTTGAAAGCTGGTTTATTCTGCGCTTTTTGAATATGGGGCGGTAGAGCGTCTCAGAGTCGTATTGCCTGAAGAGTGAATGAGTTAGAAAGGAAACCAGTACGGTGAAAAGGAATTAAAAGTGTCAATTTGCTGTCTGAGCGAAGATTGCGATTATGGGATGCACCCAAATATTGAAATTTACATTTCAAATATCCAGGTGCACATTTATCATTAATTATAGAGTAAAGAGTGGAAAGTATTCTCAACTCACGACGTTGGCGAATTGTAAGCCACTTCAGCTATTACTGATCATCGTCGTCCTAGCTCCTGTCCTTTTTTTAGATTCGTGTACAACAATAAATAAACAATAAATAATGAACTAAAAAGAACGATGAACTATTAAAACTAGTTCATGTCGGTTAGTGTCGGGAATATATTCCTAATAGTTCATAGTTCATGAACTATACAAGCCTAATAATAAGCTTACTTTAAGCTTACATTGAAATAAGATTGTTTTTGAAAAGGTTATGGTGGCCCCCAGGTATCTCAGCGAGTACAGGGTCGCTATGACGTATATGACGAGCACTGGAGTGAGACAACTTCGCCCTCCGATCCTCATTCACAAACGGCACAACCGCAGCACTCTGCGCAAGCGCCGTTGACTGGCGCCGTAGTGACTAGAAGTGGTCGTATTATACGACCACCTAAAAAATTTCAAAATTAGTAAACAATAACTTTTTATTATAAATATAGGATCAGAAAATAGATATAAGTAAAAAAGTGACTAAGTAGAATATTAGTACTTATATGTATAATATACAAAAGTAAACAAAAACAAATAAGTGTTTATTGGAGATCAGACTGTTTATAAGCTAATCTACTTCACGTTTACGACTATTCTACTTTACAGGATAAAACATGTATTGTAACTTATGTAAGAAGTATATATAGAGCAATGACTTACAATTATAATATAGAGATAATATCTATATCTTACAATAATTAGAGTAAGGAAGATGTAGTATATGCGGGCAATATTGAAATAAACCAGTCGTTGTTTAGATTTTGAATAGCGATGTGTATCATATTTGTACATTCCTCAACTACTACATAAACAAAGTGTGCTTCTTTTATATAACTAAAAATAATGGCTTCTTATAGTGAGTTTTTCTTTAAGTACAGCGTAAGACGTTACTCCAAACAGGTTAATTTTGTTTAACTCACTATATAGAATGCTGTCGAATATAATATCCCAAGCCCTTTCATCACCACAATGTACTGACAGCAGCTTTTTGAAAATAACCATTGTTGTCTTTCTTGGCCGTATCAGCTTTTTGTAAAAAATACAAGTACACGCAGTAAATTATTTGTCGTGACTGTAACTTTAGCGGCTTTTCTCCCATTGCATAATAAATAAAAAATAGCAACTCTATATACTTCTAAGTCACATGAAAGCGTCCGGTCTGTAACAAAGGCAAAGGACAACTGAATAAAACCCGACGCCAGAAGTACAAAGTTTGCCGAGAGACATTGAGAAAATACAAGCACTATTTTTTGGTATATTTATGATTATTGCTTGAAACCTATTTTTAATCAATTATATCGGCCCAATTTTGATTTTGTTAATGACCGCTACCTATGCGTTTAATGAATTCCTTTAGTTTGAACAGAGATAAAATAATCTCAGTACAGAGTACAAAAAAAAACCGACCTCAAAAGTACGTGGAATTAAATCTATTTGCTAAGTTTTATTGAAATATCCTTAGATTCGCCACTATACAGGACTTGACACTGGAGATAATAAAAATTGGTTCTCAAGACTCAAAGAATATTGAGAGCAAAACGCCTTGAATTGGAGAAATAGCAAAATCAACCATTAAAATAATTGCTCCTTAAGAAAATTTAGGCGCTATTTATAAAAATGAATCTTCATGCGTGAACAGCCACCCTTAGAGGTGGATGATTTCCTTCAAAATGAAATGGGACCACTATGGAAGTACCCCCTTTCCAACAAAAGAAGAATCATGAAAATGGGTTCACAAATACCGCAGTTATCGCGTAACATACGTACCAAAAAAAACAACAAAAACAAAAAACATACAGTCGAATCTTAGACTATTTATTTTTTTCCATCCTCTAAGAGTCGAATTGAGAACCTCCTTCTTTTTTGAAATCGGTTAAAAAGAAAAGAAGATATAAACATTTTCTAAAGAAACAGGCCATGCTGCTTAGAGGATGGAAAAACAATAAAGGAAAGGTTGGTTTGGTTTTGTTTTCCATAGTGTAAGCCACGCTGCCAAAACCATTAAGTAAATAAGAAAAAAGATAAAAACAAAATGAAAATCGTATGATTTTCTACCGTTTGTCACAGAGTAGTACAAACAGAAGTAACAATACGATGGGAAATGAATATATATTTTACTACTATACACTTTATTGCATACAAGACAAGCCAAAGTGAAAGTATAGTCAGGTGTCAACAGTGATACTAATAGTAAAAACATTGATGAAATTATATCATCGGCATAATTATTGCTTTAAGTAGTTTCTTTAAACCCATATAGTTATCAGCTACCGTTTGATAAATATAAGCCTACAATGGAGCCAAAACCGTTGTTTATGGGTCCAACGGTATACCGCGAGAGAGGAGCGCATTTGCGGCGTCTTGAGCAGTTCGACAAGGCAAAAGATGCTTACGATGAAGCATACAAGATTACACAGAGTGACGTGCGGATGTTAACGGGGCGTAGCCAGGTATGCAGCGCCGCTATGCAGCCGAACCAGGCCTACGCTGACGCCGAGATGGCTTTGAAACTCGAACCAAACAATATGATCGCCCGAAACATGCAGTCGCAGGCCTTGTACACCATCTCAGATTTCGAGCGATCGATAGTTATGAACTACCGCGGTTTTCGAGTTCGTAAGCAGCCAGGATATTTTAAGGAGGGCATTGATCAGGGCATCGAAACCCTCCAAGACTGCATTGGAGTGAATGCGGGCTCTGTTATGACAGATTTTCTTCCATTGATTTATCAAAATTTACGAGATGCCGATGATGAATACGAGCCTAGTAAAGTTATGCGCGTTTCTCGTATTCCACAAACAATAGAGAAAAAAAAAATGACGCAATTAGAAGCACGTAAGCAGGCTATACTCGCAAAAGTGTTAGCTATGAAATATTTAGGCTCAATGGCTAGCGACAAATTTTTCTTAATGAACCTAGTAGAGGATGACCGCTTAATGTCTGCCAACAAGAAGGGTAGCTGTGACTTAAAGTATTATGTTCAGGAAGCTCTTCGAGCGCTTTCCGAACGTCAAAGGATGCTTCGTGCCCAAAAACCTTATTATGCCGTCAAATTAGCGGAAAAGACGCATTCACATTACCAGAGGACATTTAAAGAACAATTATTGATCAAAGAACGGGAAGTTGGTGCGCATACTGCAGAACATTATTTGAGAGATATAGCCAAGAGCTTGCGTGAGCTTCGTATAAAGGATTTGATTAATACAGCGGAAAGAATGCAGTTATTCCTTGATACCAAAACTTTATACACTTTGCCGGATAAACAAATTTACACTGACCGATTGTACAGGATGGTCGGAGAAGGTTATCTATCCCAGCACAGGATATCTTACAAACTGAGTGAGCGTGGTAACAGGAATCGAATTGCTTTCCTTATGGGACTTCCTTGTGGACGATCTACTTCTTTCGATTCAGTTAGAGCCAATTACCCAACCAAGTTCACTGATGTCGAAAAAGCCACGGCAAAAACTTTTGAAGTACTTGAAATGTGTGAGAATTCCACTATGAGATGTTGGCTGATGTACGAAATGGCTCGTTTACTTTGTCTTCAAAAGAACTATGCTCTTTCTAAGTTTTATGCAAAGCGATGTCAACGGCAAGCCCAAGAGTTGGGTAATGTGACTTGGTGGTTGAATGGATGTTACATCTTAATGAGTGGAGATATGCAACAAGGTAATGCGAATGAAGTCCGCATTCAAGTAGAGGAAGCATGGGAATGGTCAAAAGAAACTAAAGATGAAGTAGGAATCCAATCGTTCCTTTCTAAGTGTGCCGCGATGGCCGGCGAGACAATGTCCGTTGATGAGCGTAAAGCCATAGACCAGCGCGAGCGGGATATACTAAAAATTATGGACGACAAGAGTCGTGTAGACACCCACGTCCTGTTTAAGCGCATGTCGACCGTGCCCGCTGGTAGACGCTTCTCCGTGCTTCCACGTAAGCCGGAACCGGGTGCGATGTCGTCGGCACGGCGGAAATACCGCCAGCGCGGTCTTTCTGTCGTCCAGGGCCCAGAACTAGAAATTATGAAAACGCCCCAATCTGGAGTTACTGGTTTACAGATTTTTAATGTTTAATTTTGGGTATTTAGAAAGTAAAGTATTTTTAGATAATAATTACGTAGATTTAGTACGTCGTAAGACTTTCACAAATAATTTTAACACATTCAATTGTTACGAGGGATGTTTAAATAAAAAAGAGCTACCCTTATTAAAACAAATTTTATTAGGCGCGGTTCGTAAACGGCCAACGGTTTTAAATAATACAATTTGCCTTCCTATGTCCAGTGCGTCCGGAAAAATCCTCCTGGTGTTTCCGCCGATGTGATGTCCGAGACTGGACAGGAGCCAAATATACGTTCCACTGCTGGACACGGGACTCTTTAAGTATTATTTTATAATAATAAACAAAATAACCAAATAAAAATAACTAAATAAAAAATAACTAAATAAAATAAATGATTACTAATTTACAACGTTACACAATGTTAAAACACTTAACAGTTTTGTATAGCTCTGTGTACTTCGTAAAAAATATTTTTATAGATATTTCTATTAAATTATACTGTCGAATAATCTTTCGGCAAGATTTTAATGAACTTTATATATTAGTTATTAGCCTTATCTCACGGATTTTAAAAACCTACTGTACTTATTGTTTAATTAAGTTCTTATGAATTATATTATTTCATTAAGCTAAATAGTTTTCTTGATAAAATCAAACGTGAATAATTAGGTGGTACAATGTATTGTGGACTGATGAACGAGGCTGTTCAAAGACTTGTTGATAATTTCTGTTGTTGGTATATAAAAACTTCTCTATAGTAGCGCTGCGGCCCAGCGGTATCACGGTGGAATTAAATTGAAATATAAGTGGAAGTAAAAATCCTGATACATTGACCTGAATGTTTTCTGGCAAAGAATAACGTTCCTAACATTTTTTATTATGAAAAATATTGTACACATTGCATACCTACATCGAGAAATGTTTTGTATTTATTGTATGGAGGAAAAACTTTTTGCGACAGCATGAAAATTACGATAATTGAAGTTATTGTGAATCTGGGAAAATAAACTATTGCATTTACCTGCAGGCGCGAAATATGAGATATAATAAATATTCCAATACATAATTTACATAATTTCGACAGTCCCTACGTAAACTATCGAAAATAGATTTTCAATCACTATTTTACAGTATGACTGTTCGAAATATTTTCGGGTATTTTTTGGCAAGATTGTAATTTTTTGGATGTTATATTAAATTTTTGGTCGGCTTTGATTGCTTAAATCAAATTTAGATTAAAATTTGAAGTTTTACGATTCCTTAAGTTGGAATACACTTAAGAAATTTGATCGAATCTTGCAGTTTCGATAACTTTCATCGGAATTTAAATTATGAATTAAATCGAATGTTATGCATTCAATAGATTACACTGAATATCACTGTACCTTTTTGTCTAAATTGTGACTATCGAAACTGATATTCATGACTTGTATATTCAATAAATATGAAAGGAATTATTGTATTCTAGAATTAAATGGAGATAAAAAAACATATCAAGTTAAATAAATAAATATACACATTTATGAACTACTTATATAATGGACTGTTCGAAACAACATTTAAATAATAAATAGGAACATATCGATAATCAGTTTGAAGGCGATTTGTCTAACGATATTTGATTGTAGTTTGTGACTTATCTAACTGCAACAAAAAATTAAAATAATGCTTTCTTGAATGTTTCTTGAAGACAAAATACTCTTCTAATGGAGCTTATTGAAACAAAAACCAAAATATATATATTTTTTATAGTAATTGAATTACCTAAAACGCCATGTTAGCGTAAAGGTTAGGTCTACAGCCGCTCAAGCAGAAGGTCGTGGGTTCGAAACCGGAACTCGCACTATATATATAATTTCAGCATTACTGTGTTCCAGTTTTGAAGGGTGGGAGTGCTGGTGAAATTATAAGCACATGGGACTTGGCCACTTATGTCTCAGGGTGACGAGCGCAGTACCAGTACCCCTAAGATCTTTGCGATTTAAAGCTCTGAGTGACGCTGCAACTTTTATGGACAGGTGTGTAGCTTACTATCAGACGCACTACTTGTTCGTCCCGTCACTTGCTACTATAAAACAAGAGTCAAAGAACATATCGCGGCTGCTAGGAACCGTCAGCTCAATAAGTCTGCAATTGCCGAGCATTTGCTGGATTCAGGACCAAACCACTGGATTGAGCTTAGCAATCTCAAGATCTTTTCTATATAACGTCATCACTATAGTACAATCGCACGTGAAGCTATTGAAATTAAAAAACACCGTAATTTCAACGTAGAAGACAGTTTTAAACTTTAATCGTCGTGGGATCCAGTCATCAGCAAATGTAAACGACATCAAGTATCGCCTGACAAGTCACTAGATGTCGTGAGTGTTGTGCGTCGATCTAGTGACAACCCTAGTGCACAAGTAAATAATAAAGACCAAGTACGGGTAGTTAGAAAAACTCGCACAGCTAGAAAATGTTGACCCCGCCTCTTCAGTCCCTTCGTGACTATGGACGTTGCAATACGTCCGGAACAACGAGGTAATTAAAATGTGCTTTATACATGACTAAGGCCCGAACTAAAAATTAAATAATGTGTGAAAATCGTGAAAGTTTACATATATCGAAGAAATGTCATATATCAAAAAATTAATATTGTCTTCAGGTACCTATATTGACATTAGGAATTGGAATACTAATATAGCCATTCGGCGAGGTCTTTTAACTGTCTTATGATGAATTCGTCAACACTTGTGGAGAATCTGCAGCTAGAGGCAAAATATTGTCAGGTATTGGTTGTGCATTATCCATAGATTTAGTATATCCATAGATTGGCCCTGAAGTATTGGAGAGGAGACCAAAACAAAAATACATCTGTGTGCGTATAATCTGCATTGTTGTACGACATCTTATGCGGACGTCTGGACTGCCCTGAAATTCTGGAGCAGATAGCCCTGCGTGTGACGGGGCGTCGCACTCGTCACACAGCTTTATTCCACGTCCTGCCCCACTCTACTAACTATAGGAAGAATGCAGTGTTATCACGAATTGTCGACAGTTATAATGTGCACTTTAGTAGAATTGACCCTTTCATTGGTAGTAAAGAAGGTTTCTTAAAAAATGTTAACTCTGGAGATCAAATAGATACGTAACATCTACACCGTTTGCAAAGTTTTGAACATCTTTACAAGTTACGTAATCCGCACATGTTTTTTAAATGTGTTAATAACTAACTTAAACTAATTTAATTAGTTTAGTATTGTTTTTTTTTTTATTTAATTTTATATAATTATATAAATACATGTTATCGATTATATATTCTATAATATATCATTAGTTATATCTTAAGTATATGTTATTAATATGTGTATCACCACGACAAATAAGTTATTGTAGACTTTAATTTAAATCTTAATTAAAAATTAATTTAAAATTGTCTAAAATCGCTACAAATTTTGTTTTGATCTGTTGGTTTATAAGGCTTCAAAATTTATGTCATTGTGGATAACTATTTTGTCCTAAGTTATTTGAGGCAAATATTCTTCGTTGTAAGATGTATTTAAGTTGGCTGTTGTTATTCCTTAATAATAAAATAATAAAAAAATCTATGGCATTATCACAATTTGGTTGCAAGGGAAATGGTATTGGAATTCTTTCATTGTTATCTAAAGTCACTGAGCTATTATCGCTATCAATTATTATTTTATCTGTAAATAAAATAATGAAATAGTAAAGTAGAAATAGTAGGAAATACTTTTGTACAGTGATTGCCAGGCGGCCAAAGTTTTTCTGATACTTATTCGTATTGATGAATCATAATTAGAAATATGTAATATAAAGTGTGCTCTTTTTTCTGTATCATTTCATTTCAAGTTGGTCGCTTCTGCAGTCCTGATTTTTTTTTTCAAGAAAATAACCTAAAATTATCTTGAAAATTACCCTGATACGTAGCTGATACGAATGTACCCTGCCAGATTTGGACACGACAAATTTATTGTTATGGGTGCATTCATGGTGCATTTTTATTACAGGTAGCGAAATAGCAACTGTCAAGTATGTCATTTTTTAGAAGGCAGAGAACAAACTCTGATGTAGGAGTAGGTAGTTAGCTAAAAGATCTCACACATTCTGTAAAATTTAAGTTGATTACAATGATACAAGCCAAACTTTATGAGCAAAAGATATGATAAAATTCTTAGAGGATGCAACAAAAATAAAAGGTTTCCATAGTCTAAGATAAAAATATTACAATTTTAATTTGAAACCACATACTAAATCTAATCTAAAATAGATGAAATTACAAATCTCCCCCTAAGCCTGTACACAACGCCCCCTTTTTTTTCTCGGTCTCTTACCCTTTATGTGTACCTATACCCTTTTAGCCTGCAGCGCCCACAAGGGGGCGTTATCGCCCACTTTGGGAAAGGCTAAATTTATGACCGCGGGCAATCATCATATTTAAACTAGTTTTTGTTAAATAACCCGATTTGTGCATTCCTATATCCATCGGCTGGTTCACAGAATACTTGTTCTTACTTGTTGAGCACGATTGAGCGTCGAATGAGATAAACGAGTTTATGCATGTTTGTCTTATTACTGTCGGTGCGTGCTGCTTATGCAATCCTATATAAACAACGTAATATTTATTTTATTTTCATTTTCGGTTTCGCGCGTAAGAGATACGCAGTACCTAAGTTCAACACTTACTTACGTATTTCTCAAAACAAAACAATGTCCGAAGTAAAAAAGAAGAGACGGCAATACTGTTGCGGAATATATTAAATTCGGATTCATTGAAAATCCCACAAACCCGTTGTCGCTTTTGTGCCTTCTATGTCTAAAAATATTTTCGAATGAAGCAATGAAGACTTCAAGACTGCAAGATTATTTGAATAAAATGCATCCAGATACGAAAGACAAGAATGTAGCATATTTCCAAGACCTAGAGAAGAAGCATAATACTCAAGCCAAGTGTAGCAAAACTCTTTTCGGCGGCTGCTAAGCAAGATGACGACGGACTTCGAGTTTCGTACAATATCTCTTTGTTAATTGCTCAAAAAGGCAAACCACACAACATCGGAGAAGAGTTAATTTTGCTAGCAATAAAGGAAGTAATAACTACTGTGCTTCATAAATCGGCCGCAGATATTGTCCGAAAAATTCCTTTGAGTAATAATTCTGTGCAAAGACGAATTGATGAAATGGCTGAAAACATTGAAGAATCATTGTGAAATCATCTGAGGACTAATCAGTTCTCAATTCAGCTCGATGAGTCCCACTTTACCAACTAATCAAGCATTGTTGCTGTCCTACGTGAGGTATCTTAAAGATGAGAAAATAAGTGAAGAACTATTGTTATCTAGAAATTTAGATACCGATACAAAAGGCGAAACCATATTCAATACATTGCAAAAGTTTTATGATGAGAAAGAGATTCCCTTGAAAAATATTATATCAATTGCTACGGAAGGCGCTCCGTGACATAGGGACTCAAAGGCACTCAAGGGCACTCGCGGGCACTCAAAGGCACTCGCGGGCATACCAAAGTACTAGCGGACACGCGCAGGCACCTAACTTAAGTAAAGACTTGAAAACATTAATTCCACTATATCTGGTGGAGTCGCAGCCTTACAATCTGAACAGATTGTTACAGTACAGGCGAATACTCCCGGTGAAGGAGGCTACCGAATGTTACAAGTATTGCGCAGCGAATGCTCGGCTCACCTCCCTCACCGCCTGCGGCACTCGCAGGCACTAAAAGGCACTCAAAGACACTCAAGGGCACTCAAAGGCACTCCTGGCTCTCGCGGGCACTCAAAGGCAACTCCTGGCTCTCGCGGGCACTAAAAGGCTCTCGCGGACACTCGCAGGCACACCTAACTTAAGTAAAGACTTGAAAACATTAATTCCACTATATCTGGTGGAGTCGCAGCCTTACAATCTGAACCGATTACATTACAGGGGAATGCTCGCGATGAAGAAGGCTACCGAATGTTACAAGTGTTGCGCAGCGAATGCTCGGCTCATCTGCCTCACCGCCTGTAATGTTCGCTTTTGAACGTTACAAGAGCATGTTCGCGGTGAAGGAACGCCCTAAGTTACTCCACACAAAGTATGTTCATCTCCAATGTGAACACTAAAATATTTCTGCTTTAAAAAAAAGTAAGAACTTAATAGATGTTTTTGGCATGTAAATTTGCAAATATATTTAAAAAGATATGATTTTTTAAATTCTGCGTTGATAGGTATTTTTCTTTGTTTTTGTTAGCATTTATTTAATACTAATAGCGACAAGCCAATTTGAGCCAATAGTTTCAAACATAAGATTAGACTTAGATTTAGTATGTGGTTTCAAATTAAAATTGTAATAATTTTATCTTAGACTATGGAAACCTTTTACTTTTCTTGCATCCTCTAAGAATTTTATCATATCTTTTGCTCATAAATTAGTCATAAACAATTCCTTGTAGTCTCCTCGTTAGTAACATGTTTATAAGAAGAAGACTATGACAATTAATATATATTGATTTTTTGAAACTATTTTTTTATTATTTTTTTATAAAATGGAGCCACAACCAATATATGCAGCACCGATCGTTTACCGGGAGCGAGGTGCCTTCCTCAGACGTATTGAGAAGTTAAATAAAGCAAAGGTGTCCTACGATACAGCATACAGCTATAAACAGGACGATGTACGGATGTTGACCGGACGCAGCCAAGTGTGTATCGACGCCGTGCAACCCATTCAGGCGTACGAAGATGCCGAGCTTGCGTTGAAATTGGAGCCACAAAATATGACTGCGTGCATTATGCGGGCACGCGCCTTATACACTATGTTGGAGTTCGAGCGATCCCTAGTCATGCACTACCGCGGAGCGCGGCGGAGACGGCTGCCTCGTTACTTCTCGGAGGGCATTGGTCAGGGCATCGAAACCATTCAGAATTCTATTGGGAAAAATACGGGGAATGTAATGATAAATTTCCTAGATCTTATCAAACGAAATCAATCTGCCTATATTGACGAAAACCAACCGGAAAAGTTGCTCCACATTTCTCGCATTCCACATTTGGAAACTAAAGCTAAATTAACTCAGTTGGAAGCCAGAAAACAAGTCATTTTGTCGCGAGTTATGGCTATGAAATATCTTGGACGAATGGCCTGGGACAAATTTTTTCTACAAGAATTATCTTCTGCTACTTTTCAATCAAAATCATTAAAATCAGCAAATGCAAAAGGTAGCCAAGATTTAAACGAACTTGTTAATAAAACGCTTCAAATGTTGTCCGAGCGTCAAGAAATGCTCAGAGTGCAACGTCCATACTACGCAATAGTACAAGCTGAGAATTCTGTATCTCGCTATCAGACTATGTTCAGAAAACAATTACTAAATAACGAAAGAAAGGCTGGGACACACACTGCCAATCTATATTTAAAACAAATGTTATCGTGCTTCATTCACAATAAAATTATGGATTTAAACGCAAAAGCAGAACGTATGCAAATATTTCTTGATAGCAAAACTCCTCGCACTCTTCCCAACAAGGAATATTACACGGATAAATTATATACACTTGTAGGAAAAGCCTATCTTTCACAATACAGACTCTCGTACGAACTCCCAGATAATGGAAATCGACGACGTGTAGCATTTCTTCTGGGCCTTCCCGTTAGTCGACCAATTTCTTATGACTCGGTTATTTACAACTACCCCCATAAACGTGTCGACCTGCAGGAGACACTAAGTAAGATGATGAATACTTTAGAAACTTGTGAAAATTCTCTTAGAAAGTGTTGGTTAACGTGCAATATAGCTCGGATTCTCACCGCACAAAAAAATTATTCCCTTTCTAAGTATTACGCTAAATTATGTCAAGATGAGGCAACGCAGATTGAAAATGTGGTTTGGTGGTTAAACGGATGTTTCATTATGTTAAGTGGTGATATGCAACAAGGTAATGCTAGTGAGGTCCGTGCTAAAGTAGAAGAGGCATACCACTGGGCTAAGCTGTTGAAAAATTCAGAAATAGTACTAGCGTTTCTGGCCAAATGTGCAGAGATGGCTGCAGAACCAATCATTGTGGATAAACGAAAGACGATATTGCAACGTGAGACCGGAATACTAAAAATGATTGATAGTAGTCTGCGTCTGGAAACCGAAGTATTGTTCAAGCGTATATCAATGGTACCGAGTCGGAGACGATTATCGGTGCTACCCTGCAAATCCAAACTCAGCGAAGACAAGACAGCGAGACAGAAGCGACGTCAACGCGGACTCTCTATAGTTCCTGGTAATGAACAAGTTTTGTCCCGTCCACAAGTTTCTAAAGTTATGGGTTTTCAAGTATTCGATATTTAAAGCTGGTAGAGGTTTTAAACTTCTATAAAAATATAAAACTGTACAAACTTTGTTCCGTATTCTGTGGTCTTGATTAAATTTCACCGAACCTAAGGCTCGCTGGTTTCTTTCCGATGTTTCATTCTTTGTGATTTTGGTAAAGTTTAAGACTAAAAAAAACAATCGGAATGATTTGTATCGAAGTGATTTTTTTTTCCAAGTGTTCGATCTTTGTTTAATAATAATAACAAAGTAGTGGAGTAATTTCACAAAAAATAATTGAAGATCATGCTGAAACATCCTGACATTCAATAAAAATGAATTACAATTATTGAAGTGATATCTCTAGTCAGCGGTTGGTAGCCCGCTGTCCGATCCGAATCCCCGGATTCACACGAAATGTTTCGCTTCCACATTTGTATGGCGAGCGGCTCGGGAGTGGAATTCCCTGCCTGCAGACTTGTTCCCCGAACGCCATAACTTGGACCTTTCCAAGGCGAATAGGCATTATTTAGGTGTGCATGCTACATCCTCGACCTCATCGTCAGTTTCCATCAGGTGGGATGGAGGTCAAATGCGCACTTGTTTTTTATAAAAAAAAGCCATAAAGTTACCTCCCTGAGTGAAGAAAAAACTTTCATAGATTTCTCACAGATGGCGCCACGGCAAAAAGTTGTTAACTCTTTCATGCACAATACCGAAATTATAATGCGCTCAAAAATGTTACTACTTTTCTATATGCCGTAGTATGCGTGAGGCGCACTATAATATAGTCAGAAGTGAATTTATTGTTTCTCAAAATATTCTCCGTTAGCGTTAATGTACTTTTTCATACGAATGAACCAATTTTGAAAACATTTATGCCACTCCTCCGTGACAGTCTCTGAAACATATTTTTCATACTCTTGACAGCCTCTTCAGGTGATGAAAATAATTGACCGCGTAACTGGTTGTTAATTTTTGGAAATAAATAAAAGTTACAAGGTACCAGGTCGGGACATGATAGGGACTGTACGCGGTATGGTTCATAAGGTCAACGTTGTTCACCTTCAAAAATTCATTTGTCAGTCTGGCCGTGTGGGAACTGGCATTATCGTGGTGCAAGATGATACGGCGTTTACGGTTATTTTTACGTAGTTTGTCAATAACTTCCGGCAAACAAATGGTCGTGAGCCAATCACTATTCACGGTACAACGATTCTCCAAAGCAACAGTAGCCACGTGTCCAGTTTTATTAAAAAAAGAAGCAATCATCCGCTTAGAGGCACTTTCTACGCGCGCCACTTTGGTTGATTTCGGCTCAAAGTCAAAGTCAAACATTATTTATTCCATACGTAAAATAAATTTACACTAGAAAACGTCACATTTAAGCTACTGCTCGTTCACTACGCCGACCTCCCTGAGAAGAACGAGCAAGAAACTCTAGGCATTGCTCTTTTCAAATAAACTTAAATGCTATGGAATGCACTTTGAATGAAATTAGTGTGGATTCTGGAGCCGTGTCGTCTTTCCATACATCTTTATCTAACACGTAGTCTTCAATTTTGTAATATGATTTTTCGATCTAAATATTTTTAATGTAGTTTTTAAACTTAGGAAATGATAATGTTAATATATGCTCTGGAATCTTATTGTAAAAACGTATACAGTTCCACATAAAAGAGTTGTTTACCTTGGTTAAACAAAATCGTGGATACCATGAGTTTGGACTTAGCTCTTAGGTTAATATTATGGACATCTTCTTTCTTATTGAAATTATGTATATTTTTACGGGCATATAAAATATTTGAGTAAATGTACTGTGATGCCACAGTCATGATAACAGTCTTCTTAAACTTTTCTCTGAGAGAAACCCGAGAGTCTAGACGGTACACAGAACGAATCGCTCGTTTTTGCAATACAAATATGGTTTGAATATCTGCCGCGTTACCCCACTTGAGAATCCCGTAGGACATTATACTATGGAAGTAACTAAAGTAAACTAGTGTAGCAATACTAACATCGGTAAGCTCACGTATTCTGCGGACTGCGTATGCAGCGGAGCTTAATCTGCTGGCCAGGAAAGATATATGTGGAAACCATTGAAGTTTACTAGCTAAGGTCACTCCCAAGAAGACTGCTTTATTATCAAGGTCTAACTTTTCTCCGTTTATTTCTATGCTTGGACTAGTCGATTTTACGTTAGGTAATTGATATTTGACACATTTTGTATTCTTGACATTAAGCAATAAATTGTTAGCATTAAACCAATAAACTACCTTAGAGAGGGTATCATTAATATGGTCATGTCAGTTGTTATTTTAATTTTTAAGTTAATGTCATGTCTGTCTGTTTTAAAAATCAAGGATGTGTCATCAGCTAACAACACTATGTCGCAATGGTCCTTAACAAAGAATGGCAGATCATTAATATAAATCAGAAATAGGAAAGGTCCAAGTCCAAGCCCTGCGGAACACCCATTTTTATGGCTCGTCACGAAAGACCCATACGCTCGATTACTGCTTTGTTTTGGGATCGTAACTATAAATCCAGATTTCGTAACCTGTTACTATGTCCCACACCAAATTTGACGGCCCGTCGTTGAATCTGGTAAGCATGACATTGCACCTAGTGACGCAAACCGTTTTTCGAGCCTCAGTCAAAGTGTGTGAGATTCACCGAGAGCACAGCTTTTTCACACCCTCTTAAGAAAAAACTTTCATAGATTTCTCATAGATGGCGCTACGACAAAAATATCATCAATTGATATCATGATGGTGAAACATCCTGACATTCAATAAAACTTAATTACTAAAAAAAAAACAATGATTATTTAAATTTAATTGTATTAGGATACGAAACATAAATAACAATATTGTAAAAAATGTTTTACAAAGATAAAACTTATAACTAACAAAATTGTAATTTTCACCTAAAAGAAATAGGGGCTAGGTAGCCTAGGCGCTAAAAGTGGTGCTGGTGCAGGAGCGAACACCGGCGCGCGCGAGTACAGTGGTGCGGGGGCGACTAGCGGTGCTGCTGCTAGTGGTGCTGATGCCGGTGCCAATACGGGAGCAGGCGCTACCACTCGCGCGGGGGAAGTCACCAGCAGAGGTTCTCGGCGAACTACTGCATTAAATCCATTGAGGGGATCTGCGGCGTAGTCGACTATCCTTCTAGTTCCATCGGGGTCAACAACCGTGTACGATCCGGTGACTAAGTCTCCGTTCCTGTGCTCCTGATGTCCCTTATAATCCCCTGTAAGCGCGTCCTGTACGTCATATCCATACGAGTATTGTGGGAATGGATCCAATCGAGCGGCTGGCAGCGGCGCGAGCACTCCAGCGGTCACGGCGCCCACAAAGCAAGTGAAAACTACAATCTGGAATATAAGCGAATTAAATCTGTAAATGGGCGGATAAAATCAAATAAGAGCCTTTTGTTATTATACTAGAAATGCTATAAATACAATCCATCTAAATTCTTTGTTTTAATAAAAAGTTTTTGATTAAAAAGTGAGCAGGTATATAAATCTGTCATACCAAGGTCGATAAAATTAACCAAAGCAGTCGACGTATTTACAGATAGACTATAATTGAATACGAAAGCACTTTACTTCGTCACGAACGCCGTGGTACCGTTAAGTCAAATGATTTCATACATGACACAAAAATATTATAATATCCGCAAATCGAAAAAATATATATTTATAAAATCGCTGCTGAATATGATTGGTTTTGCTAGTAAAACCGGATGTAGGTAAAGAAGGAAAGTCATGCAAAACGGAATAAAGAAAAATAGGTTTCCCCAGGGTGCATAAATTAAATAACTAATTTCGATAGTACATAGATGTCTTTTCTAAGTACGTAATTTTTAACACAAGCCATTGCTGAGCTACTTTGTATATAAGATCAATGTAAGCTACATAAACGCCATAAACTGTAAAAAAAGATGCGCATAGCTACTATTTGAACCAATTTCTCTGATAAAGACACTAAATCAAAATTTTGCACTCGTGGGTAAGATTTCGTGACTAAATTTAATTATTAACAACTAATAAATCATATTTGAAATTCGATTTCGCTCAGCTTACCTTGGTGTCCATGTCTGTTGGAATGGGTAGGATGTGCAACTCCAAGGAGTATACTGTACTAGTCCTGATCGAGACAGCAGGTTTTATATTGAACACTGCGTAACACGGGACGTGAGGGCCATACCGAAGGCTTATTGAAGAAAGTGATGTTACGCGACTCTTGCGTCCGTCGACACCGACATGACACACACGGACAGTACTATTCTCTGTCTTAGCATATTAAATAGGTCAGTAGGATTCTTCTACGGATATTATATACAGTTTTTAATTTTTAGGCTCTCAGCTCCTTAATCGTTTATCCCGAAATTGTGTATAATAATAATAATATGCCAAATAACCACACTAATTGCCTAATCTTAAACTAGTTAACTTACCAGAGCAATGGAATTCTCTCTGGGGCAATTCCCAGAACACCCTTATGTACGTACACACTTACAATTTTGATCGACCAACTTACATTACTTAATTAACGCGTTGTTTAACGGCAAATGTGTCATTACTATGTTTGCTTCAGTTACTAAAATATTTTGCATAGCACATCACCAATTTTATTACACAATTCCGTTATCTATTTTTATATGTTAACAGATATAACCTCAGTGAATCAACAGATAGCGCTTTGGGGCATCGTGGGGATGGCTGTGGTTTGATTTCCACTTGAACCAATTAAAAAAACAACCTTTTCTAAACTGGTTTTGATCTACGTATTTTATAGTTTCCCTGCAGCTTACTCGTTTTCCTACATTTTATAATTTCTTAGCTTACGATCACATGAGTGGGTACTTACACGGTATTATTGTTTCGCAGATTTTTATTAGCTATTTACGTAGGCGCTGGATGAGGATCGAGGTGGTCCCGAGTTCAATTCCCGGTGGCACCAAATCGGGAAATCAACTTTTCTAAGTTCGTTCTGCATGCTTATTCAAATCGGAATCGACCCTATCGAGTAGACTCGAAATCCGATGGGTTTCCGAGCAAGAAGATGAACCTGGTTCCTACTATATCGTTCTAATTTGTGAGTTAAATCAACTATTGTTCCGATTAGAGATGTCAAAAGTTTCCGATCGGCCAGTTGTGAGTCGCAATAATGCACCTCGACTTGGAAGAGACGCAGGTTCCGATCGGGAGACGCAATGAAAATCAAGCTGCTGGTCTGGCTCCAGCTTAGAGGATGGAAAAGAGTGGAGCTCTGGTGCTCATAGTTCAAGGAGTTTCATAGTAAGACCAGGTAAGGTATAGCAACAGTAGAAGTCCTTGTGAAAGAGTTCGTCCAGGGCACTACACTAGCTACTACTGCCACCTTACCTATTTCTGCCGCCAAGCAATAATGCCAGCATTACTGTGTTCCGGTTTTGAAGGGTAAGGTTGCTGGTGAAATTACAGGCACAAGAGAATTACCAACTTATGTCTCAGGGTGACGGGCGTAGTGGCAGTGCCCCTCAGATCTTTGCGATTTAAAGTTCTGAGTGGCACTGCAACTGTTATGAACAGGCGTGTAGCTTACCATCAGGTGCACGACTTGTTCGTCCCGTGACTTGGTATTAAAAAAATTTTAATTGCTATAGTTGTTTGGCCCTTAATAAAAATTCTAACCAGAATGAATGTGACTGTTTCACCTAAGAAAGTTTCACTTAAATTTTGTTAGAAAGTTGTAACAAAAATTCTTAATAATACTTATTTATTGCTATCAATTAATACGCACTACTTAAGATCATTAATTACCATACAATGTTATGTTACTTAAAAAAGAAATATACTTTTGTCCAGCACCTTGTTACTACTATACTATTAATGTATATAAGATCCTAAACGAGTCAGGGTTCCTTTGGTCTGAGACAAACGACATGTGTCTTAATTCAATTATAATCTTGTAAAAAATATGTTACAATGCCATAAATATTATCCACATATTATATATTAAGTTTTTTTTACTAAAAATGCCTACGTAAATTATATTAACTCAATCCACAAAAGTTAATAAGAATCTTAAAATAGATTCCTACACTTGATCAGACTTAGCTTCAAGCTAGAATACTTTTTTAAAATTAAAACTTGTACTTGTCTAGTATAATTTGCTTAACTACTTAACGTTTTGTTATTTTATTTTTTAACTTGGTTATTTTTATATTCGTTGATGTCTTTTTAAGGATAAAGTCTACTAAATATGTTATAATGACATGTATGAGGTACCAACGGCTTTTGTTTATGAAATAATATATTACAAGTATTTGTGGATGTCTATCTCCATGGCAACCGCGTCACAGGGTTTCCCTAGTACAGTGCTATGAGTAATAAATGTTTTATTTTCATTGTTTTATTACTGTTGGTTATTTTATGTTAAAAACGCATATTGCGTTGCATAACAAAACGGTTCCCCTGTTTTGATGTAGTACTGTTACAAAAATATTACCAGTTGTACAATGTAATAGGTCGCCAATAAAGTGCACCTAGGCAGTTCAGCAGTAAATTCCCGCTGGATATATGTCATATTAATTTGGGCTAGCGACACTGTCCATCTGATCACCGCTAGTGGTCCTAATATGCTGTTTTATCTTAATAATCAGTATAATCGTTTACTTGCGAAAACGAGAAATGGAAGATGAGTACCTACGTATTACGTTTTATTACTATTGATAAATCGTACGATACAAAGATTTCACACAGTTGTGCTATTGACAACTTATTTTCATAACACAAAAACGACAAATACGAGTACTGTCAATAAAAAGCACTTTTGCAGAATGTCGCATAGCAAAATAAGTCTCATTTTGACTCGCAAAGCACTACTTTACCTAAAATGTTCAATATTGGACAATGTGAAGTAAATGGGCGTATGTGTAATGTACAAAATAAATATACTTTTAAACAGACATTTTATTTTACATTTTCACAAGTGATATTCTTGTTATCTATCACGCTTCCAACATCACTGTGGAAAGAAAAACACGTAACATTGGTATTCCACATCTAACACTTTATTCCATTAAAATAATTTAAAAAAATCCTATTACATAATATTTTAAGTCTTTGAAAAGTGGGTAGCCTTACTCAAGGATAGCGATAGCCGGCAACGGCCACGGACTCTACGAGTCTGGTCGGTATGGCGCGCAATGCGGCAGGTGCCGGCGCCACAGCGAATCGCCCGGGCGCCACAGCTAACCGCGCAGGCGCTACACTTGCTACCTGTCCCGTATACGTGGTAGTTGAGTATGTTGCCGCGACTGGGGCTGTATATGTAGCGGCGACTGGCGTAGCGTACGCAGCGGTGTATGCCGCAACAGGTGCGGCTTCTATAGGCACGGCGTAGCGCGCGGCTACGACGGGAGCGGTGCCGTAGCGGGCAATGGGAGTTGCTGCAACGCCCGCAGTAGCGTATCGGGCGATTACTGGCGCTGCAGCATAGGGAGCGACGGCAGCCACTGGTGGGGCTGCTGCTAAAGCAGTCACCGGGGCGTTTACGGTTCTAGCGACCACAGGAGATGTGACGTATCTAGCTGCCACCGCGGGGGTGTATACTGCAGGGGCAGCCACAGCTGGTGCGCCAAAAGCATACCGAGCAGCCACAACTGCGGGCTGAGCGACAGCCGACAAAGGCGCAGCGCGTACGGGTGCAGCTGCGAGGCGGGCTGGAACCACTGCGGGTACTGCGACTAAGGGTTCTTTCCGTACCACAGCGTTGAAACCGTTAACCGGATCGGCAGCGTAATCGACGATGCGACGAGTGCCATCCGGATCCACAAGGGAATAAGAACCTTGTACAACGTCACCATCGCGCTGCTCCTGTTGACTCTTGTAGTCGCCAGTGAGGGAATCAGCCACGTCGTATCCAAAACGGTACTGAGGGAAAGCGTCATATTCCTCTGTCCTGGCGAAGGCCGGCGCTGCGTATGCGACCGGCGCCGGCGCCACGCTAGCTCGTGTCATCGCGACCACGCAACAGAAGATCACCGACTATGCAAAGCAAACAATTTCGTAATTAGTAGGTAATTGTTTTTAATTATGGAACAAATATACAAGAATAGGTTTTGCAAATCAATTTTTAAACGATGACTAACTAACATAGATAATGAATGAGAACAGGAAATTGGACTTTTGGAATTGCTAGTTAAGTTACTTGTCAACTAATTCGAACACTTTTTTTTACAGTATGATATCGGTGATTTTAAGGTTTAAATACGTTTCACTGATAGCACTTTCACTGTTGTATCAATTCTCCTAACCACTTTTACTTTTAGTCTATAATTGTACATGTAGGTAAGTACCTTAAAAGCCATTTTTTGGTGAGTTGAGTTCAGGGGTGTCTAGTGCGACAAACTGTGAACTCATTTTGACACTAACAGTATTTATACTAGTTGCGGCGTGCGTTGCCTCATCCCGGCCACATCTCCAAATTTAAATATATTCAAGTACACACGTACTAGGGGCCGCCGCGCCGACGCCTCGCGCCCATGGGACGCTGGACAATGCGGTGCGCGCTCAAGCAAACAAAGCTGTTAAGTACTTTTCGTTGCCTTACAGTGGAAACCTCGTATACACGTTTTCACATAGTTCGTTTTACTGAAGAAAAACTTATAAGCTTCTTGCTCGAATTTATTATTAAAGTAATATAGTACCTAAAAGAGGTATAATTAAAATGCTAACTACAAAGATTATTGCGTTTACTACATTTTTATCTTCATTCAGAAAAATTACATAGAAATCACATACGAAGTTTTCGTCGTTGCTTGGACGCCACCTCGCCCTTGAAACAAAACACACAAATTAAAATACCTATTCAGAAAAAAATTATAATACAGTTAACTATACAATAACTGGAATCTTTGTACAGTGTATCTTTTGAAAAAAAACTGACGTACAATAAATAGATATTTATTGCTGGTCAATGTATAAAGTCGGGAACCTATAACATACCTAAAACGCTTAGGCAATATATGTAAACAAAATAAACTTTATTATAATACACTTAACATTCTAACGTACCAGCCCGCATATGTAAAATCACAAAACCCAAAAAAGAGGTTAAAATTTAACACCCAATGTTTGTGGCTATGGGTAGGTTGGAGGCAGTCACGTGAAGTTAGGTATTATTAATTATAATTTGAAACTCAACATAAAAACAAATAATAACATCAATTAAATAAATATAACCTAACTTACATTACTGCAAACTACCGGCCACGCGCAATTTAGCCTTTTTACCTCTGTATTGGTTTGACAACGATAAAAATGGAAGTAAATTACTTTACCGCCCTGCGTACCCACGGGTTCATATCATGGATATCCGCGTGTTATTCCTGATCTAATTATGGTAAGTCTGTCTGTATGTAACGTCTACATGGAACTCCTATTAGCGTTGTGCATACTATTTTCACAATCTACTTCTTTAAATATCTCGATTCATTAGTATCCCGTCTGTCAAGATTACACAATGCGCATAATTGAAAGTTGATATATTCTCGGACTCGTTAAATATATAATTTATTTTTTCTCTTTTTTTTTTCTTTTGTATTGTTTTTTATGAACTTAGAGATTAAATAAAATGATTCAGATAAGAGCAAGTTGGTTTCCATCTGTAAAGTCACGCATTTAGTCAGACATTTACATAGATAAAATTAAATATGTATTAGAAGTAACAACTCTTGATGAAACTTAATAAATTAAAATATATAGTTAAAATATAATGATTTATAGGAAATATAAAGAAAATATAGTACACTGTCTAAACAAGGTCGGAATTCTAAAAAAATATTGGACTTGAATTACTTTATGGGTAACGAATGTCTGTATCTCTTACTCATAGGTAAATAGTTACCTATTTCATTCTAAATATGTGTAACAAGAGTGATGGTTACCAAACGCTTGAATTGCAGTGCGCATGAGTGGTCGACCGCGGCCTAGAGTCGCCTGCGCCAGTTTCTAAAGATCAAGAGGACATTTGTTCCGGTCAGTATACTGGTTCAACCGCTCAACTTTACGATGCAATGGGTTTATGTTGTAAGGATTCAGATTGTTAAAACACATGGTGTTGTTTTTGATAGATAGCTTTGTCAACAGCTATGGCAAAGTGATTGCATTACGGAATAAGTTTTTTTTTTTATAATACTAAGTGACGGGATAAGTCATGCTTATGGTATTTAGCGACACGCTTGTCCATAACAGTTGCAGTGCCACTCATAGCTTCAAATCTCAAAGATCTGAGTGGCATTGGCACAGCGCCCGTCACCCTGGGACATAAGTTGACAAGTCCCATATACTTGTCATTTCACCATGTAGAAATAGGTAAGATGGCACTACTACCCCAGATTAACTCTTTTACAAGGAGCTCTACTGCTACTGAAGTCTAAACATTACACCAGCACTTAGGCACTGCCTGATATAGAAGTATATATAACCTTATCGAAAGCATGATGATATATTATCAAATCATTGACCTACTGGGTCAATGCATCAAATCATAAAATATACCACTAAGCTTCGCCTGAATAACATTTATTATTTATTAGACGACCTCGGTGGCCCACCGGCTTATACTGTGGGCGCTGGATGAGGAGGTCCCAGGTTCGATTCCCGGTAGGACCAAATTGGGAAATGAACTTTTCTGAATTGGTTCTGGTCTGGGTGTTATAGAAGTGCCCCAAAATTAATTCCTTTGTTCTGGTACTGGAATTCCATAGTTTAAAACCAGGCAAGTGGAGTGATTGTCTGGCACATTATTATTTACGTAATAATATAAATATAACAAACATTCCCAATATAGATACGCTACCACTAATGATGATGTCGAATATTGCATAATAGATGATCTTTTATAGAAACTTAGACATTGTATAAGGTAAGCAAGCATTCTCATAATTATATAACCAAAAAGTAAAAACTATATAAATACATTATAAATCGTAAGTAATACTCCCTTTGGCCTCCAACGACATAACATGATACAATTCATCTTCTAAGCCTTGTCTATTACACATTTAGGGATACCTAGTCGACATTTCAAACAGGCTTGAGACCAGTTGGAAGTGTGACGAAATTAATAAGACTTCAAGGACTATGTCAACTAACACTGTTTACGGGGATCATGCTATGTAATCTATCTGTCCTGTAGGTGACTGTTACAGGTACGTGTGAAGTGGTGGTGACGGATGTGCTTATCTTTTTTTAACCGACTTCAAAAAAAGGAGGAGGTTCTCAACTCTACTTTTTTTTTGTGTACGCACTTACTCCGACATTTGTGAACCGATTACGATGTTTCTTTTTTGGTTGGAAAGGAGGTACTAGGGGTACCAACTCCAAGGGTGGGAAATTAGGAGATGAATTCGATTTATTGGATTTCACCCATTTTCCGTCAACTGATATCAGTAAAACTTAGCAAATGGATTTAATTCCACAAACTTTTGAGGTCGTTTTATTTATTAAAAGGTTATTCTATTAGACGTCGACGAATATAAGCAGAATAAGGGCGCACGAATCGTGCCGGCGACCGCATGCGTGTAACTGTCATGGCAAAACATGCTAATTTAGCTTTTACGTTTTAACTTAAATAAGCGCCCCGGACACGCGGGCGAGTCTGGCTTGAATTTGGTCTACTCGGCGGCCGCGCAATCGCCCGGTTGTATTATTGAGAGGAATTTAAATGTTGTTGCCTAGTAAATAGAATTCAGATTCGCCATTAATGTTGGGCGCCTATGGCTCAAGATGCTTTGAACCACCAACAAAGGCTCATGGATTTTTTGTGTCGCGGATGTTGAGGGGCTACCTCGAGATTACAGTCTGGCGTGACACTACAGATTAGTACTTATACATTATATTTATCTTTCAGGCAATCTCCAAACCCACGTTACTGAAATAAGTATAAGTGCTCGCGGGCTGTCATATACATTTATTTTGACATGACAAACCTACTTTTACTTATTCAACTCACATTATTATTGTTAGATACCATTCATTAGTAACTTGGAATTACCTATTTCATATTATTTAGTAGCTTGTCACATGTGCTTGGTACCTACACACGTTCTGATGTACATGATGATGATGTAGTTACAATCACTGGCCGTGTCGGTATGTTGATTGTTTATACAAGTAGTACTTTGAGGTTCCATGCCGGGTCGAACTACTGGGACAACAGACGACGATAACGGCGCGACACGCCGAGAGCGCAAGAGTGGACATTTGCATGACAATGGCGTGTTTTCGCCTCGACGTCCAAGGTCAACCGACGCACCAGTTTACATTCGCCTAATACGTTGTTACAGTTCTTAATTGTTAGCAGTACCTGCCTCCTATGCTCATAAATGGTATACGTGTGATTTTGTAAATACAACTTAGATTCCCATTGGGGTAGGCAGATACTATTGATCGCCATTTAACGCGATCCTTGCAAACATCTCTTGCTTCACTGAATGTATTCAGTGAATGAAGGAATGTATTCCTCAATGTTTTCATACATGTCCTCTTATTTATCTCACTACCGCACTCTGGCCTTTTTAAGAACACTCTCAATTTGGCCGTCTTCTTCCAATGATTCCGTGGACTCTTATAACTCTAACTATTACATTTCTTTCGATAATCTACAATCATTCATCCGCTCCATGTGCCCAAACCACCTCAGCATACCCTTTTATATTTTTGTCGCTACATCCTCTTTCAAAGCACATTGTTTCCGGATCACCGTATTCTTCACTCTGTCACATAGCCGCACACCACATAATCTACTGAGGAATCTCATTTCAATTGCATTCACTCCACTCTCATGCTCTTCTGCTATACCCAACACTCACTCCCATACATTAGCGTTAGCGTCCCATACAGTAGCATTAGCGTATTTTAGATATACACTGGCTGCACATCATTCCCTTTATGACCCCGTTCACCGTTTCATTTCCGTTTATTACGCTTCTTTCGTGTCTTTCTCTCAGGTATCATCCCTTGTACATATACATCCCCGGTACACAAACCCTTTTACTTGTTCAACTTTCTTTTGATCGATTTTAATTATTCATTCTGACATATATTATAATTTCATTCATATTTTTATCATTTATTCATTTACAAAAAATAATAATAATGAACGTTACATAAGGGAAATCAATCAAGTACTTTCCAATTCTTAAACTTTTATAAATAAAGTTTATTGTTGTTATACTACCATGATATTATTTTTTTTGCGAAATTACTCTTCAACTTTGTTATATTATTAATACAAAGATCGAACACTAAGAAAAAATCAAAAAGCTTGGGACCAGCACTGTAGTGACGCAACGAAAGTGTTATA